AGTCGACATCGACGCCCAGCCTCCGCAGGTCCACCTTGGCCTCCTCGATCTCGACCATCAGCTCCTTGTGGGCCTCCGGGGTGTCGTTGAAGGTGAGCACGCCCCAGCCGAGGCGGGCGAGCAGCATGGCACCGAAGGAGACGATGAACCAGAAGGGGAGCTGTTTTGCGTTGCAGAGAAAAATGGTTAGCATCCCAGCGGTTGCAACAGTTTTGTTGGCGATTTGGAGGCGACCACGTACCACCGGGACGATCTGGGTCTGCACAACCTCGGGGAGAGGGATGAGCTGGAGGTAGAGCGCGAGGTAGAGCTGTGCGTTGGAGCGTTAGCGAAAAAGATGTTTACTGGAGTCGCGAGGGGCGCCGGGCCAAAGAACAGGCACAAGTCGACGCAGCAGTAGTGGAGGGGCGGATCAGCGTACAGAGCTCGCGAGGAGGGCGATGGAGATGGTCTGCTGCGCGCGCGTCATCTTTGCAAAGTGCGGGCTGCTGCTGATGATGCGATGGCGGATCGGATTCTGGGAGATGGAGGGAATTGTGCGTCGCACGGCAAAAAGGAGTGGATTGCTCGTCGAGGATCGTGGTGGTGGGTTTCGTTCGCAAGGAGGGACGATGAGTTGGCGACAAATGGCAGTTGATTCTTCGAGGCTCTCGCGTCGCGACGTTCGGGACACCTTTTCAGCCCCTGTCAAGGCTTAGTGGGACCCTGGGAGCTGAGACAGGGGTTTTGTGCAGCGGGCACGGGCCATGATGGGCCAGCTCAGTTTTGATGTCATCCAGCATCCAGCACGGAGGAGCATTCAAACAACAGAGAGAGGTTTAATTCCTGTGATTTCTATTCCAAAATGGGTTTTCTAGTATAACTCGCAAATTCCCTTCTTTGTTTTGCACACTGTTAGTCCCCAAAGTTGAGGTACCTACGTGTGGGCCAGCCTGACCCGGTCAAAGCCCTCCGCCACATCCACACACACACTTTTAAAAACCCTCAACCCCTCCCGAATGCAACACAAATCATCAGGGCGAATGGTTTAGTGGTATAACGCTTCCTTAGCATCTTGACTCGGAAGAGATCAGATTGGAAGAGGTCCGGGGTTCGATTCCCCGTTTGTCCAGTCTTTTTGCCTCTGGCCGCCGGCGGACGCTGGTTGTTGGGGTCTCTTCCCCTTTTCGGTGTGGACGGGTTGTTTTCTTTTTCTAGTACCCAGTAGCTGTTGCGCAGGCAAGGAGCGGGTTGCGTTGGTCATATGGGCGGTTGAAACCTTTTTGTTACGACAAATAGCCCAAGCTGACCCCGGGTGACCCGAGTGGGATTGTTTGGTCCAGCCTTGCTACGACCGCGAGCAATTTTTATTGGCCGTCGACGCAGACTCAAGGAGGTTCGGCTCGCGTCCCATGAGCGAGCCGTCCGCCGCAATCATGCGGACGGCGGGTGCTATTGGACATGCAGAAGTCGAGGCAGCCTTTGTGATCCATTGGGCATGCATGGACGCGTGGCCTTCTGCGCTGGGCTCGAACCCATTTCATTCTAGCGGTTCGGGTATCGGTTGGCAGCCTCGTGTCACAAAGCCCTCGAGATGGGATTGGCACTTGACCCGATATCAATAGAAACACTCCCTTGGAGTTGGGTGTTATTATGAAGCCTGTCCCTGGGCTGTTTTAAACTGAGCATATCTTTTTAGAGGTCGTTTGTGCAGTTCAGCCACAACCCCTGTCCAACAGTCACGAACAGTAAGTCTGGTTATCCGAGTCCCTATTCTCAGTGAAACAGGGAACAGAGCGCGATGGCAGTGGTTGGCGTGTTTGCGTGCCTGGCTGTGGCGGGGCAAGACCGAGCGGGGGGCGCAGGGCGCACTATTTTTGGATCCCAGGAACGCTGGGAAACGACCACCGGGGACGGCCGCACGCGCCTCGTTGTATCTTTGGCTCAATATGGGCAAACCGGTGGAGATGTGAGAGCAGGAGAGCAGTGATGAGGCGGTAGCAATCAAGGCAAGAGAGTGGAAACCAGTGTAGCGGGTGAAGCGAATTGGTGGCGTTTGCAGCGTGTTGTATCTTGGCCCTAGACCTTTCTATTTACACGCGTCACAAAATCAGGGGCTCCTGGTCGCACACGTCAGCTCCCTGCCCAAGCCATTGATGCACTGCCGCCGCACCCTGGCACGCTACGGACTCAGGCTGGGGCTGAGGTCGAGGGCGAACAAACCCAGGTCAGATGGCCTCCTTTTGCTTTCCCTGAAACACCTCTCTTTCTTTTTCCACCTAAACTCTTTCCTATTTTATTTTCCTATGTGTCTGTCCTTTTGCGTTCCTATCGTACACGAGATTTTCCCTTTATTTGGCGTTTCCTTCGATACGGTTGTTTTTCCTCCGCCGTCATTCAGCAACGAACCAATATTTACGTCGACTGACGACCGACAGTCTTCCGACCCGCGTCGAAACGTCCACGCACGACGGTTAGGCACCGCGGCGCAAATTGGACCGAACGGAGCAGCATTGTTGGGGAAATAGGGCCGTGAGACCAGGCCGTGGAGGAAGCCCGCATAAAACGATAGGTGGAGGGACCTGGCGACACACAAAACAACAACACACAACATGGCACCACCACCACTCAAGGACGCCGCGCTCTACGCGGCTGTTGTCCGATACAGCGAATAAGGAGTAGCCGTACGTTTGTGGATAGCAGACTGTTATTGAAAAAGGTCCGGCCTACGCCGTCGGCATCGGCATCATCTGGAACATCCCCTACGTCAGACGGATCCTGTGGCCGTTCGCCATGCTGACCATCGCCTTCCACGAGTTTGGGCACGCCATGGCCGCCTGCTGCACGGGAGGGCGCGTCGAGAGCATCAAGCTGGACCCGCGCGAGGGCGGCGTGACCATGATGCGCGGCGGCATCAGCGCCATCACGCTCCCCGCCGGCTACCTGGGCTCGTCCCTGATAGGGGCGCTGCTCATCTTTGCCGGCTTCGACATCATCGCCAGCAAGGTCGCCAGCTTCGTCCTCGCCGTCTGCTTCCTGCTCACGCTGTGGTGGGGCAAAAAGGACTGGCTCACCATCCTCACCATCCTGTTCGCCGTCGGCCTCATCGTTGCCTGCTGGTTCATTGCCCACGGCCAGGCTCTTCGATTTTACGTGCTCTTTATTGGCGTCATGTCTTCGCTCTACAGCGTGTGGGATATTGTAAGCTTTTTTCTTTTTTTTGTTCCCGTCCACATAAAACCCAGCCAGCCTACATGGAACAGAAAGCAGCCCCTTGCTAACAAACTGACTCTTGAAACAGTGCGACGACTTGATTCTTAGGAAAGTCAACGAGTCCGACGCCAGCCAGTTCGCCAAGCGCTACGGCGGCTCGTCGCAGTGCTGGGGTGTCCTCTGGTCTATCATCTCCCTGATCTTCATGGCAGCGGGTATAGTGGCTGGCATTGCGGCCTTCCCCAAGTCGTTCCAAGAGCAGAACGAAAGCTCGAGGAACTTCCTGCCCACGATATAAGAAAAAGGACCGTCCATGTAATAATCGGCGCGTTTTGCTTTGGGGAGCCCGGTGGTGGATACCAGTCAGGGGGGCATATTGCAGGGTAACAGACAGAATCCTGCGAAGTTATATTTTGGCTTGTTCGCATGTTCTTCCTGTCCTATCGGCGAGGAATCGGTTGCCAGGCGTTTTCGTTTTTGTTTGTGATCCGTGATACGATCGCTGTTTTTTTAGCATTTCAAATGTCCAAAGCAGGACAGCGTTCTTGATTTGGGACAAAGGCAGCAGTGGGTGAATAGGTTGCCCCGGTTTTCGGAGCTCGCGTTTTTCCATTAGCCTCTCGTGACTTATCCATATCCTTGCCCGTCGCACCTAAGTGGTGTGACGGGCTTTGAACTCGTGACGACATCCGACTAGCGCTCCGAGGTTGAGGGGCCGAAGAGACTGACGCCGCGCGCCTAGATACCACGACCGGTCGATCCTGCTCCCGGCTGAGGCCCAGCGGAGCGATCGAGGGATTGCCGCACGCCATTTTACGTTTGTCACATCAAATCGAGATCACAACAAAGAAACATGTAGAAATGCGGTCAACTCGACATTTCTTCTCCTTTTATATCTCTGTATCCATCTCAGCTCCGCATCCACACCCATCAGACTGGTATCTAGGCTAAATGTCTACGAGGCGGAGGCGGCGACAATCTTGTTCTTCAGGGCGAGGAGGCCAGTGGCGGAGATATCCCTGTTGGGGCGCGTCCAGCCCTCGGCATAGGGCAGGCGCTCCTCCCGGAACATGATGTTGACCCAGTCGGCCCTGGCGTCGCCCGTTTCGAGGTTGCCAAAGACGGACAGGTACAGGGCCGTCTCGATCTGGCTGAACGTCTCGCCATTCGTGCCCCAGTCGAATTTCGGGTTGGCGGCCTTGGCGGCGGCGATGCGGGCGTTGCGGGCCTTGGCGGCGGTGGCGATATCGATGGTGCCCTTGCCGGCGGGGAAGTGGGAGGCGACTGTGTCCCAGATGGTGACGTTGAACGAATGGTTGTCGCCAATGGCGGCGTCGTTGCGGCTCAGGCTGGCGTCGTGCTCGATGATGCCGTGCTTATTGAGGTCGTCCAGGTTGAACCAGAGCAGATTACCGGTCGTCAGGGCCACGGCGCCGACCAGGAGGGTGGCCGCCTTGCTGAGGTTGACGGAATCGTCCAGGCCCTTGAGCAGGGTGAACATGTTGAGCTTGCGGCCGTTGCGCGGGAGGAACCCGTGGTTGGCCAGCGTGTTGACCATGGGGCAGGGGCCACGCACTGTTGCAATGTGTCAGACTCTGGATCGCCATGGCCTCGAAAGAAGCATCATCCAGTAGGTAGGTAGGTACGTATGGTGCTTACGGTCATTGGGACCCGGGGCCCTCCACGTGTGGTCGTCGTCACGGGCGGACAGCTCGTTTGGAGTGGTGGCCGCGGAGGGGTAGGCGTCGACGGACAGGGCCGCCGTCAGGAAAAGAGTGAAGGTGGAGAGACGCATCCTGAAAGAACGAGTAGGCTCGAACGATATTCTGCGTGCTAGGCTAGGAAATGAACGACAGAGTGGGCAAAGAATGCACGAGGACTGAACAGCATGGTAGCCTGTGCGGAAAGGAGTGACTGGAAGACGCGATGGAGCGAGCGTCTTTATACTATCACCCCACGCATGACCACACTCTGTATCTTTCTTTCTCACTCCTCACTCTCAGGCTCGATCTCACATCCACACACAAACATACCCTCTCTCCGTCTCCTTTGCGCGTTCTGGCCTCCATCATCACCCGGGATGCGCCTTGAAAAGAAACGAGTCAATGCAATACTAGCGAGATTGCGTCGGGGTCCTCTTGACGGGAGCCTCTTGCAGGGGTAGCGCTGCCAGATCTGGGGGAAATCTCCGGCCCTGGCGCTGTGGGCCCCGATATTTCCAGATTCGGAGCTTTCTCCTATGCCGGCCCTAGAAGCATCATGCTGTGTCCTTGTGTCCATATCACGCACGGCGTTCGTGCTGGCCAATAAGGCGAGGTTTATTGCTAACGGAGCCGAACCGAACTCGAGATTGACTAGAGTTGCCACGGGCCTAACCGTCATATTTGCGGAGAACACCTCCAAAATAGGACGTGTTGGCCCTGCTGGTCGCTGGGTTGTTGGGCACCAACAACACCTCACCGTTGATTGTGGTACCTATGTATTAATGCCTTAAAAAGCTGCTACGAAAGCCTTTAGCAAATGAAAAAAAAAAAAACAGAGGAGGAATTATATTGTCACGGAGCAACCCCCCAGTCCTCGGCTACCCGTGTATATATACCGCCTCCCGCCCCCCAGATAGACGGGAGTTCTTCTGCTTCCTTCCTTGCGCAACAACAAGTTTCTTTGTTAGGAACCAAGATGTTGCACTGTGACATATATTCACCCAATTTCTTTTTTTCTTGCTGAAATGAAAAGCGTTGATAGGGCTGTTTAGAAAGCGTGCCCAATGACGTATCGAATCAGTCTGTATTTTGATGTAGCCGACCGAAATTTAACCATGGTGATCCTTGGGAGGCGGGGGTACCACCGTTCGGACCATCTGGGTAAAATTTAGGATCGAACCTACTACCTAATCTTAGCTGACTCGGGATGTGAGCA